AAGTGGCTCTTCTGTGGGATAGATGAGCCTGTGAAGAGCTGGCTGCTCTACAAAATGGTGGTGAGCTTCCATGCAACAGCACAGTGTGACTAAGGGAGGGGGAGCAGCGCTAGGCAGGAAGAGGTAAGGGCACTCCTCTGTTACCCCTATCTTATACTGCAGAAATCCTAAAGACCATCAAGCCTGCTCCTCATATCGGAGAGGACTGTAGCTCCCAGTAAGCAGCCTGAGTCACCTGATTTGAATCTTTATAGACAAGCTAGGAAAGCAAAGGGGTAGTACTTCCTGGGGGCTGCTGGGGAGCTTTTTCTCTGTTGTAGGGAACCAAAGGTGTCTTAAAATCATCCTCCTCTTTTGCTTATCAGACTTTTATTTTCTTGGTATTTCTGTTATGTGTTTTTAAATCCATTATTTGTTTTCCTTTATTTTCTTCCTGGGTAAACTAGATATGTATTTCTAATGTGCTGGGTTTTTTTTGAGGGGGGGAAGTAGGATTTACAGAAAATCATATGACTTTCTTTTCATAACTAGAAAGGATAATTAAGCTGTTTCTCCTTCACAGGTTGTTGCAGAGATTTGTCTGGCTGCTTTCTTACTGCTTACAACCCTGAAAAGATGACACAATGAGAGCAGGAACAGGATTCTGCATCTTTGTGCATGGGCTCTATGAGGTGATATTGCACTGTTGATTCCCCTGTTGATTTAGGAGGAATCACCTGCTTTTCTGGCGACTCTGTTGTTGTTCCAGGTCTTGTTAGTGCTGGTCAGATATCCTGGTTCATAAGGGCAAAGCATTTATGGCTGCTGACTCTTTGTGTTCATCTACTTGGTTTGAAGTAACAGTTGCCCTGGGATATGGTCTGCCTTGGAATAGGGGTCTAATCCCCAGTAAGTAGTACCTAAAATTCTGAGGAAACATTAAAACCAAAATGCAGCTTGTAACTAAAATGTAGTATTTGTGACAGCTGACAAAGGAAACACTGAAATGAGAATTAGCTGCAGTGATTGGAGGCTTTATGTTATGCTTTGCTTGGAAAATCCAGTGCACTCGATGTGACCCCTTTTGATAATTAAGTTGTGGCTGAGCTGAACGTGGGAAGGAGCGTGGCCAGTGATCATGCCAGTGTTAATTGAGAGCTCTGCTGTGGCATAGCTGCCAAAAGGGGATGGTCCTCAACTGCTTTCACCCCATGCTGCCGCAAGCGTTCAGCCACTGAACTGAATCCAGGTGAAAAACTGCCCTCAGAGGAATGGATCACTCCTGAAGCTGGATGGGTTGCCGGGCTGGGCAGAGTGCGTGGTTGTTAGTGATGATGTGAGGGGCTGAGAGGCTGGAGAAGTGTTGGGTTGCTGCTGTCTTGCTCCCGTGGCCCAGCTGGCTCATCTCATGGTGTTCTCTGGGCTGATTCAGGCCACTGATGCAGTAAAGAACCATCTGCTTCTGTGGATCGGGGGTTTTTGTTGTGCTAGCAAGCCTGGCACAGATGCTGATGAGCAACAGTGCCAGGAGAAGCGGGACGCACTGCTATCCCACCTGCCCTGTCCACTCCTGGTGTCATGGAACTGCAACTTTGCCCTCGGATGCAGTCTCTGCAGCATCACCTTCCCGTTTGGAAAAATGCTCCGATGCTTCCTGCTCCGAGAAGTACCTCAGAGTGGGAGCAGCCTGTTAGTGGTGAGAGAGGGGGTGTGTGGTGGGGAGACTGTCTCTAGTCCAGCCAAGACTCACAAGCCAAACCATTTGGTGAGTCATGGGGAGGCTGCTCTTGCTTGGGCTGGAACAAACTTCAGATGTGTCCAAGGCTCTTCCTGAGGCTGCCAAGCTGTAATTTGTGGCTGTCTTTGCTTCCTCTCTGAAAGCTTGCTGCAGTCTGAGTGGAAATGTAAAACGGTCCAAAAGCTAGGCTGCTGCAGAGAACACTTCTATTTGTTTATTTAAATTTTTTTCCTTTTTTTTTTTTTTTTAATAAAAGCACTTCTGCAGGGCTGGCTGCGGCAGGCTGCAAAACCAGAGCCTGCAGGGGCCTCTGGCTGGCCTCCTGAGATTGCCAAACAGAAATGCCTCACGTGCACCGTTTATGCAAAGCAGGGAGTTGGGCGTGAGGAGGGCGAGGCAATCGTGGAAGGAATTTATGTGCCGTAGGCACAACAAAACCAAGCATCAGTCTTTCTGGAGCCAGTCAGGCTCTGGTGCCAGCCCAGTCCAACTGGTTGACAGGGGAGGCAGCGCTCATGGACGCCAGCTCCTGCAAAGTGAGTCATGTGTTTTGCTGCAAGAGAGTCCTTGGCTGCAGCTTTCCAGCCTGAGGGAGGAGAGAATCTTCCTACTCACCTTCTCAATGCAGAGCATGTGCCTCCCAGAAAATGGGGCTAAAAATCAAATTTAGGCCGGGAAGGCCCCCTTCTCTCCCAGCCACATCGCAGTGACTCAGCTGTATGTGACTACTGACAAGTCCTTCCTGGGAAGCCTCATCTGACACCTTATCTGAGAGATTTATCTTCAGGAGAAACCCCAAATCTGAGCAGAATCTCAGCAAAAGAGGAAGGTGGTAGGCAGACAGAAGTCTACTGCAGTTCGCACCCTCAGTGTGTGGTCTCTCTTGATGCAGTTGGTCCTTACATCTCTGAGCTGGACCTGGTCTCAACAGGCTGAGCTGCCCTCAGGTTTCCCACTCTTGCAAACAATCCTGCTGTCAATAGCAGACGGTTAGTGCTTGAACTCTTGATGCGAGTTTATTTTTTTCTAATCCCCTTTTTAAGTGAGAAAACTAGCAGGCAGGATGGCTAAACCAGGAAAGAGATGTCATGGTGAAAATTTGTCAGGAAGCTGCTGGCTAGATATTATATGCTCTGTACTTGGGAGGAAAAAAAATGTTCCCAAATCAACTGGAATTGGAGAAGCTCTGAGGAAACCTGGGCCATCACAGGCAGTCTTGTTGCCCAAAATGAGAAAAGACTGGGGGTGGCATTTGCTATCTTGATGCTAGTCCCTCCTTACCCCTCTCCTTCAGTTCCCAGAAGAAAACAACATATCCTGCCTGCTGAAATAGCTCTCCTGTTCCAGACAGTCTTATTTAATCCCCCTTTTAAATATTCTTCACAAAGCTGGGATTTTTTTTTGTGTTCCTAAGCTAGTAGCTGGCTGCTGGTTAGAAAGTCAAGATGCCTTGTCAACACTTTGTCTGCACTCCTGAGATAAGAGAGGCATGCTGAGCCCTGCCTAGGCAAGGTGGCTTTAGCACCAGAGTAAAGGTTGCTTGTTTAGTCTGGCCAAAATTGCTGTTGGGGGTGGCTTTCTGCCTGGCTGATTCGGTCTGAGTGCTTGTGGCTCCAGTTTGGGAGTTACCCAAGAGCCCTGGCCCTTGATGGGAGGGGGATAGCAGGGGCTCGGGAGGCTCCAAATGAAGCTGTGCTGACTGGCAGGGGGCAAAGGCCCTGACTGAGCGGTCCTGCTATGTCTCGCAAAGAAGAGTGAGATAACAAGCCTCCTACGGTGGTGTGACTTTTAATTTTAAGATGATCTTCATAAGAAGAGGAGGAATGTGCATTACCCTGTTTGGTATAGACTAAGTGAAACAGAACAGATCCACTTCCTCTTAACCTTTATACTGAAAGTAAACCTTAAATGTTATCAAGTCTGGTCCTTGAAAAATGAACACGTAGGTAGGGATTGAACATGGTAACACCACATATGCCCTTAAATGAAGGGCAATACCTTGAAGATCCTCACGAACTGGACAGGATAAGCCTCACAGATTGTGAGCAGTTCAGATGTGATGAGTCTTCCAGTTACAGTGAGGCTGCAGGGGATGTCCAAGCAAGGCTGAAAGAAGCACCTAGCTTCTTGGGACCCTTCCTCCAGCAAAAGAAAGCCCCGAGTATGGGTTTAAAGGAAGAGGGAAGCTGGTCTAGCAGCTCTGTGCTGTCCTGGTGAGCCTGGCTTCTGCCTGTGAGGGACTAGCTCTGGCCCTCAGCTGAGCTGGTTTGGTTTGTTGATCCAGTAGGAAAACTGCATTATTTTTTTTTCCTCGGTTGGTTTGTTGTTCCAGTTGGCTGAATCAGTGCGAGGCATGTGGCAGGAGTAAGAGGCTGGGAGATATCAAGTCAATTCAGGCTTTCTTAATCGTACTTTTAATTACTGTTCCTTTGGACCACAGATATCCAGCTGCTCAGTGACAAGGAGCAGGAGTCTGACAGGCACACCAAGGCAAAACAAGCACTAACCCACCTCCTAACCTTAGGCAGCCCGTGAGTGGGAAGCTCAGCTGTGGCATATCTTGCTGCTGTGCACCTCCATGAGATGCCACCCGTCGAAAGCAACTGGGGGGGGTGTGTGTGTCTATGGGGGCCCTCCGGCGCGGGGCTCTCCCACCGCCCCCGGGGCACCGCCTGTGGAGGGCCCCAGGCCGGCGCTGCGCAAACCGCCTTTTGCCGCTTGTAGGGTCTTTACTCCGGCCAGGCAGCGCCGTTTCAAGCGGCGGGGGCTCCCACCCCCTACCCAGTGGACCCCGGGGAACTACGACCCCAGCAACACCCCGCGGCCGCCGCCATTTCGAGCGGCCTGAGGCGGCGGCGCATGC